AAACAAGGTCCAGGCGAAGAAGAACATCATGGTTTCAAAACATAAGGGACTGGTTTGGACAAAACTCAGCAGCACTTTTTCACGTGGCTGTTGACAAAAATAGGATTGTCAACATGATCACCTATGTCCGATGATGGATATGGCACAAGAAGAAGAAAGTATTGATAGATGAATAGCAGTCATTTAGCTTAACTTAAGCATAGCAATATTTTAATGTGAGGTCCTTGATGATGTTTCCTAGTTTGGTAATGAAATGTCTGCAAGAAAGCTCGGTGAGCACCAAGGACCCCACAGTTCAACCCTGAGCTACAAATATTCTCTTCCATTATTATTTTACTATGATGCCCTGCCAAAATGGAGAAGATGCCTCACCCTTTGTCATCTCAAGCTACCCCAGATAAGAAAGAAAGAAGGCTGGATGCCTTTATGCACTCTACTAAAATCCTGAACAGATAGATGGGCGATATTTCCTTCTTTAGGTTCTCAGATTGAGCTATATTGATCCCTGATGTAATGCTATCTCAAAATAAAGAAATAACAAGCTCTGAATAGCAAGGAAGATCTTCCATTAGGACATCTGGGCCAAATAAAGAATACCTTAAATTGGTTGATTTATAATGCTTGCTTTAAAGACTTTAAAGGAATGGTTTAAAAAGTTGGACATTAAGGTTCCTTTGTGCTGAAGTTGTAGAAATGAAAAAGTTCTTCAACATAAATTATTTGGTTCTTCCAGCAACAGCTTTGCTTTCAAATTATTCCATTTATTCATAGAATTTCAGAAAGATATGTAATAATTAAAGATATACATGTTATGTTTTATATTCCTAATACATAAAATTTTATCATTTTATAAAGAGCTTGGGCTCTCACAAGCTTGGGACTCAGTAAAGAAGATAATATTACATAATGGAATGGAATAAAAGTTACTCTACTGATAATAAGGAATGGTTTCTGGAGAAGTGTGTTATCAATTTTTAAAAATAATTTTTTAAAAATATTCACTGAGTGGTGGCTCAGTGGCTAAGACGCTGAGCTTGTCGATCAGAAAGATTGGCAGTTTGGCGGTTTGAATCCCTAGTGCCATGTAACGGAGTGAGCTCCCGTTACTTGTCCCAGCTTCTACCAACCTAGCAGTTTGAAAGCATGTAAAAATGCAAGTAGAAAAAATAGGGACCACCTTTGATGGGAAGGCATTCCATGTGCCTTTGACATTTAGTCATGCCAGCCACATGATGTCTTCGGACAGCACTGGCTCTTTGGCTTTGAAACGGAGGTGAGCACCGCCCCCAAGATTCAGGAGAGACTAGCACATGTATGTGGGGGAACATTTATCTTTACTTTTACTAAAATGATGAAGCAGTATATTTCTAATATAGACCCATGGGGGGTCTATATTTAAAGATCTCACCTCCTCTCCATTGTATATCCCTCCCATCTTAGCTATTTGTCTGCTCATTTTACATTTATTGTTCTACTGTTTTAATCTTTATAATATTGTTTCATCAAATTGCAAGCCACCCAGAGTTGCACGACAGTGAGATGAGCAGTATGTAAATTTAATAAATAAATAAATGCTAAGTTTAATAACTGAGTGAATTCTATTTTGATAATAAATGCATTGTTATGTGGATCTTTCCCCCTTCCTTCTTTAACCCTTCACATTTAATTATGTTTATTTAATCACTATCCATGTTTATAGATTCTTTTCTCATTGGATAACCATTACTGTCTTTTTTCTGCTATTAAGTAGTTTTTTGTATTCCACTTTTTAAAAGTAATTTTAAAAACAGTCAAGACAGCAGCTGCAAGTACAAGAATAAAGTACTGTTCCATTTTGCAGGCATCACAGGGGTGGAGTGGAGTGGGGCAGTGGCCTGGAGGTGGAACTCTCACCTCACAATCAGGAGGCTGTGAGTTCGATCCTAGGTAGAGGCACATATTTTTCTCTCTGGGCACATTGAAAATATATCCACTGAACAAAACTTCACACTCCTGACAGGAGGATCACCCAACCATCAAAACTCTCTCTCTGCTAGCTCTATTTAGTTGCTTAAACTCCACCCCGCAAGGGATTATGGGGTCATTAAATGAAGATGATGACAGGAATTATTAAAAGGGGGGTGGCTTTGACTGTACTGGTATGGCCGCCATCTTGATTTTCTGACATCCTTTCAGACATTCCAACAAAGGGGCACTATCATGAGCTCTATGGTCTATCCTTTGCCTCTAGATATCTCTGTATCTGTGCCAGAAAAGAAAATATGCTGGGCAGGAAATTTAAGATGCCATGGAATATAATTTCAAAGTTAGAGGATTTTCCTTAGCATGCAAGGTATCAGCCAGACATGACTTTTGTGAAACTGCAGTCAATGAATATGCAGGTCATGCAAGTGACTGCACATCTCCAAAAGCATGATCCATGTAGTACAAGTCATTATGCTGTAGAAAAGATTTTAAAAATGAAATGGTTTATACATCTGTATTTGACAGTTGGTAAAAAAAAAGCAGCCTTTTTTTTTTTGCTAAATATAGAAAAAGATTCTCAAGACTCAGTGTGACTGTGGTGATATAACACATGCTACGATTATGTACTTGTGTCACAGCATCTGATACGAGTATATAAGTTGTGGTATTTGCATGATGACATCATTACATATGTATTGGCATTTCCCCTCTTTTCCTGATCCCTTGGATGCCCGTGGCAAAACATGCTTTGAAGATGGAAAGGGGGGTGACTGAAGATCTTCTTCACTGGTAGTATATAGAGATTGGACAACTATTTTAAAACAGATGATAGAGTGGTTTGATAGAATTTGGGAAAAGGTAACCTCCAAGTTCTTAAGTAAAACAAGAAAAACAACAACTATGATATTATGGATTCTCTGATCTCAATTTCCATCACATTTATTTATCTGTCACCTTTAGTATTTCTATAAATAATTTCAAGGTGGCAAACATACCTACTCCTCCTCCGTCCTTTTATTTTCCCCACTATAACAAGCCTATAAGGTAAATTGGGCTGAAAGGGGGGAATGGGCCAAGATCACCCAGCCAGCATTCATATCTAAGATAGGACAAGAATTCACAATTTCCTGCATCTTAACCACTACGCCAACTAAACCACACATATTTTATGTGATAATTTTTTTGTGAAATATCACATATATTCTAACCATTTCCAAATGAAGTCTCCCTCACATTTTGTATCACTCCAGGTGCACCATACAGGAAATCCTCAATTTGTTTAATGACGGTTTAACATTACAACGGTTGAAAAACAATGACTTACGACCTACCCTCAAGGTTACATCAACCCTGCACTCACAAGTCTGTGATTTGGGCACTTGGCAAGCAGCTTGTATGTATAACGGTTCAGGCATCCTGTGGACATGGGATCATGTCCCAGATCCCATGGCACACTTCCCAGATGGCTTCCAACAATCAAAGTCAATGGGGAAGCTGGCAAGGAAGATTGCAAATCACGATCATCTGGTGCCTTGCTTAATGATCAGGGTGATTCGCTTACCAATCATAACAAACAAGTCTAAAATCAGCTGTGCCACTTAGCAACAAATTTTCTGATCCCAATTGTGGTTGGAAGTTGAGGACTAATTGTATTTCTTCTAATAGTTTTTTCTTTCTTTTTCTGACATATTCACACACCACTTCACTTATGCAGTGAGTTTTCTGTTGTATACAACCTTCTCGATGCTGTGCACTTCTTTGAAGTCAATTCAAGAGCAGAATAAGGATATGTTTATGAACATCAGAAGATTCTCTTACCAAAATAATTGTTTATGGAAACTAGAAGGGGAAAAATTCTTTTAATTTTAGAGAGCCTAGTGACACACTTCAACTACAGATGGGGAGGGGGGGGGAGTTTTCCAATATTCCAAGGAAAGAAATTCTGAAATTGTTTCCTAGTATAGTAATGGAAGACACAGCCTCATTGGTTTTAAAACTGCTCCAGACAGATTTATGAGTTGTATTATCAGATGCTTTTAACTCTGATGGCTCAGTTGTGACCTGTAATAGTCAGGAAAAAACCTTTCTTCTGCAACTTCTCTCATCCTCACTTTCTGAAAAATCTCAGAGTTGTCCAAAGCAGGGATGAGACTCTGAACAACAGGAACTCTCACACAAGGTGACTTTTGCCAGACTAATGGAAATTTCTCCTGGAAAGGCTTAACCGATTGACTCCCTTTGGTCTACCTCTCCATCTTATTGTAACCATATGGAGACAAAGTTATAGGGATTAGATTCATCATGATTCACAACACTGTATGTGTGTGACGTGTGTATGTGTGTGCAAGTAATGCTATTTCAACAAAGCATTATTATAAAATGAGCAAATAAAGAAATGCTTTTTTAGTCATGGCAAACTCACTGGGTCACAACAGAGAAATGAAATGCTCTGGTATTTATGGTATATCAAGTTGTGTAGAAAAAAGTATAAGGTTTTTTTTAATAGGTATCTTTGGAAATAACTTGTTTTGGCATGAGTGGAAATGTAGCAATGGTGCAGTAAAAGATCAAGCACACATGAAAGATTTAGCAGGGGATGTGTGCATAAACACTAAGCAGCATAATATACAGAGATATATTCCAGATCTAAAATGTCATCATTTTGCAAAGTGAAATGTAGTGTTCTGATTATCCAAAATATCTTCCTCTAGAAGAAAATGAAAAGCGAATCAAATCCATATGTACATATGAGTTGAAAGGTAGAAACTGATCCTAAAAAATACATTCAATAGTCACTCCTATCTGCTTGCAATCCTGTGCTTTTTATTTTTTTTGTGAGTTGCTCCTTAAAGAATTGAAGACAATTTGCTACCTTTATGGTCTTGCAACACTATCAAAAATACCATGAAAAGAAGACCTTGAAAAAGTTATTAAACTTTTTTTCCAGGAAAAAGTGTCTTTTTCCCTTAGTCCCCCCCCCCTTTGAAATCATATCTAGTTGTCCTAATTTCACCTAGCATATCAATAGATATTTACTTTCCTGAACTCTATCCTAGACTTTTTTTTCCCACTTGTCCTTTCGAGTCAGTAGACTTTGGGTTGTTCTTTTTTTTTGGCCTTGAGAGATGGAAACATTCCCTCCATGTTTACATAATGGTTCTGTCTGACCTGAGATTCCCACTTGGCTAAATTACTGTAAGCCCTTGAACTCACACTTTCCCCAAATTTCCCTTCTTATACTTGTTATGGTGCCATTTTGCTATATTAAGCATTGAGACTTTCAGCTGAACATTGGAAATAAAAGAACGATGGCTATCTGGTGAATATCTATATGAGTTCAGAGAAAGCCACAATGCAATTCTTGAATTTTTTTAACTGTATGCTTGAAGATAAAATTCCTCATGCCTAAATGTAACATCTAAATCAGCTATTCGTAGGCCACAAAGAGATTTTTTTGCAGTATCAAGTTGAATTACATGAACGATTTTAATCTAACATGAAATGTAAAGCATATGGGCACATGGAAAGTTTGTACTGTACTGAGGGGTCTTTGGTGCTCTCTCAGCTTGGTTGTTTCCTTGCAGAAGTTTCCTTGCCCCAAATAGGTAACATCATCAGTGTTATCTAGTTTGGGCAATGAAATGTCTGCAAGTAAAGCTCAGAGAGCGCCAAGGACCCCTCATTTCAACCCTGAGCTACAAATATTCTTCTTTATTTGTACTGTACTATTCAAGCAACTAAATCAAAATAAGACATCAACATTTAGGAGAAGTACATTAATTATAAATGAAAAAAGTTGCTACAAGAGTAAAGACCCCTAAAGACCATACTTCCATGAATTAACCATAAAGTCCCAAAACTATACCATATTGATTGTGATTTAATTCTTCATAGACCGCGTACATCGGCAAATGCAATACAAATTGGGTAGTTCAGTGTTTTGAAATCCATAAAAAATACCTCAGCTCCACGCAGATTTAAGTCTATTTCACATTGTAATTCCAACATCATATATAATTGTAATGTGCTGCTTGGATCCTCAAGTGTAATGATTTCAGTAGATAATGTTTTAAAACTTACGTTGGTTCTTCAGAAACTGCGGTTCCCTCTTCCAACTCCTGTGCTTGCTTATACCATGGCAATTTAGCTTCAATAGGAAGTTTTTCTAGAAAAACAATCATAGGGAAATAGGAAACATGTAAAAATAATGTAATTTAAAAAATATAATCCTCTTTTGTAACTTATATAAAGAGGAATTACTTTGCTTTTATTCCATGTTTACTAAATATCTGCCAATCCAATCGTTAGTGCACCTAGACAATGCTTACATAGTATAAAGCTTCCTGAAATGTTATTTCACACAATCAGACTAAATTTAATAAGATGAGATATGAATGAGCCTTCTGGCTATGCATACTGCTCTTTGCTCTGCTTCTATGAGAAAGAGAAGAAAGCGAGTACTTCTTCAATTAACTGTAGTTTCCTATTTCATCTAAATCAGAAAAGCATGGTTAATAATTTTAGAAAAGGTCAAGATGTTAAACCAACTTCAAAACATAGGCAAATTTTAGTTAATGGTAGATTTCCTGCTGCAAAAGATAGACACCCATGCTTAATTCAAAACTGCCGAGATTGTGTAAAAAGGAAAAGCATGGAGGGGTTGCCTATGAGCCAAAATATATCTTCCTATCTTGGTTTATTCTGTTTGACACAGTTCTGTCAAAGACATGTATAAGCTTCGCACTGCCCATACATTTTCCAGTGTGAAAGATGAGGGTTTTTTCTTTCTTTTCATATTTGTCCAATACTATGGAAACCTCCAGAATGGAGAAGATGATTATTATTACTGATAGGAAGTATTGTACACAAGAGTACTTTTCTTTGAAGCGTACAGAGTGATTCCAAGTTAGTAGGCCTATGCAGTTCAGCACTGCTTGGCCCAAAGTGGGTGGGGGGGGGGAGTGGCAATATTTCTTACAGTCCATAAAAAGGTCCTGCTATGTTCCACTTTGACAGCTTATTATGACATAGAAGAAAATGCAGATGTGATGAATGATGGTTCAATAAAGAGAAAACTAAAATAGTTTGGTGATGTCCTTCTACTCAGAGTTTATCAGTTCATCAACATTGTGGATTCAAAGTGAGCTGAATAGTTTTACTGTCATTTTTGAGATAAAGCAGCGCCATTCTCTATCTTTCCCCTCCAAGATCAGTATCAGAGAAACGCATTAAAAACATTTGATAAAATACTCAGTTGAGGAGCCAAATTGTGTTCTCATGGGAACAGAAATCTGTATTAAACTATGGAGCGGCACTGGCCCTTTAGTGTGACTATCCATAGCAAATTGATAGTCACACTCTTAAAGCAATATGAAATCATCTGAATACAGGGGGCTAATGGTTTCTTGTAGTATTTGTAAAAGCCATATGAATAACATGCTGTAAATATTTTATTATAAACTTTTGTTTTTTCCTTTGACATTACCAAAGAATCTTTCATTTAAGCCAGTGTTTTTCAACCACCGTGCCGCGGCACACTAGTGTGCCG